ATTTAACGACTAGTAAGCGGACGTTGATTTCCCTGGCCGTCTCCTATGCCTCAAAAGTGACCTTGAGCTTCACGTATCCCCACGGTCTCGTTGTCGTCCCGTTGAACCCTTGGAGGTCGGAGCCGACATAGAGGGTCAGGTTGGTCTCGTCGAGCTGTAACGTCGAGAATAGGTGGGTATAAATGATATCCACCGAGCGCCCTCTGTCGACCAGGATACGGCAGACGTTGAAGTTCACCATTTGTGCCCATATTAGCAGGGGTGGCGGAGTTAGGGGCTCCTTCGGGCAGCTCTTTGAGGTAGTACGTGATCGGGTTAGACTGGTTGTGGAACTTGTCGAGAGTGCTCATTTTGCCGGAATTGTTGCTCATCAACTCGTCAAACTTCTATTCGCGGACCCGATAGAAAGCTTATTTGGGGCCTCGCCCAAGATGACCATCGAAGTGGGGAAGTACTCCCACGAGCTGATGGGACGTATTGGTTCTTCGGGCAGCTGGTGCTCGGTAGGGAGACCGTGTTCTCTCAGGGAGAACAAGTCTTCAGGCCGACTTATGCTAAGGGCCACCTGCAACCCAGAGTCGTTGGAGGGCGGAGGGATGTCCTCGACCCTTTTGGCCTCGTGGGCCTCCTGTCGAGGGGCATCCCCTCCCCTGGTGTACCTCTTCAAGTGCCCATCCTTGATGAGTATCTCGATTGCGTCCTTCAGGTGGATGCAATCTTCAGTGACATGCCTGTGGCCGTGGTGGAAGCAAGAGTATTTGGACTTGTCCACGTTGGCCTTGGGATGCCGGTTTAGGAAAACAGGCACCTCCCGGACGAACTCCGAGTTGGCGCTCTCAGCCAGGATGCGCTCGCTGGAAGCGACGAGGGTCGTGTACTCGATGAAGCGGCCTGCGGAGGCCTTCTGCTCTCGGGGCTCTCGGGGACGATCATCTCGTCATCGATCTCCCCCTCGCTGGGGGGCCGGAGATCCTTCTTCTCGGACTCCACAGAGGGTTTCGCGGTTACGGGAGTCTCAGACTGAGTTAGCAGCTTAGGTCTCCTCATACCGGATGTAGTGGCGGGCTTTCTCGAGGAAGCCTCATAGGGTGGTTGGTCAGTGGATTGCCACGGCCTCTTAGAATTTGGAGCCCCGGCACAAACTTTACTCCATGAGGTAACGCTTCATGTCGTCTAAAGTCGTTACCGGGACCGCCTCCCTCGTGAACCTCTCGATGTAGTTCCTGAGAGGTTCGTTCTGGGCTTGGATGATCGCGCCCAGAGCCACCTCGATCTTGGAATGGCGTCGGGAGGCCGTGAAATGTTGCGAGAAGAGACCCTTCAGGAACCTCCACAACGTGACAGACTTGGGCTCCAGACTTTTGTACCAGGCCATGGCTTTCTTCCTTAACGTCGTCGGGAAGAGCCTGCACTTGATGGCTCCTCAGACGTTCCGATAATCGAGCATGGCCTCGATATCCTCCAGATGGTCGTCTGGGTCCGAGGTGTCATTGTAGGTGGAGAGTGCAGGCAACTTCTCCATCCAGTGAGGGATGAGGATTGCCATGATCTCCCGCGAAAGGGGTCCTGTAGTCGTCCTCGTCACTACGGACAAGGGAGCGCGAGGGCGAAGGATTGCGCCGAGGGGCTTGATTACGCCCCCTCGATCTCTTGTCCGGGGACTCTGGTATGTTCCCTCTTGGAGCCAGGGAACGCCTCTCCTTCAGGGGAGGTGATCGGTCGCGCTTCTTGGAGGCCACGGGTTGGGGCATCTCCAGCTGTGGTCGGCGCCCCCGTTGACGGGGAGAGGGGCTCCGAGAGTCCTCGCGTTGATTTCTCCGCAGGGGAGAGCGAGATGAGGTATCTTTTTCCAGTATCCTGATGCGCTTGTTCTGCTGGAACAACATCAGATCGGTCTGGTTGATGGTTGCGAAAATGGCAGTCATCGTCGGGTCCTCCCCTGCTGGTGTGGGGGCGCGCTGGAAAACAGTCGGGCTTCTGGCCCAAGGGGGGACGTGATGTTCCGCATCCTCGAACGAAGGGGAGGAAGTCTGACCGTCCCTCACGGACGTGGGAGGGCTCAGCCTGGTCATCGCTGTTGGTGAGTGGGGAGAAAGCGGAATTGTGGACAGCATCATCGTGGCGTGGGCTAGTCATGATCTCGGAAATTGAAGTTGGAGCTGAAAGCTTTGGTTCTTCTGCTCAGAGGAACGGGGAAGCTTTAGTTTCCCACAAACGGCACCACTGATTGTACCTGATCAGAAGAGATTGATGACCGCCACGCATCGTCGATCTGAAAGTTGCTCACCGGAGGTAGGGAGGAAGGGAGTGTACCTGCAAGACACTCCGATACTTAAGTGAGTAAAGGACCAGAGTAGGAGCAAATACAGAAATTAGGTGTAGATAATGAAATAGCTGACCCTCTAGTGAAAGAGGGTGTTTATAGTGAGATCGCAGCGCAGGGCCAACGGTCACTTGTGTTGGGCTTGATTGTCAGGCGCAACCCAAGTGACTGCTAGGGCTTACGTGGCGTAGTGAAGACCAGCACGTGGTCTTCGCCATAGTTCAACCGTCCCGTAATCTCCGGAAGGTGGGCTGACCAGCTCTTTTGGAGGTAGGTAGTTGCCTGATGATGTGTCCCCATGGGGGGAGCACGTGGAGAACGTGGAGAAGACGTGTTGTTCTGCCCGACGGAAAAGATGTCTGCCCAGTGTGCCTAGAACCGTGCCCGACATTGGGGAACCTGAGCCTTGTTGGACTTTCCCTCAATAACGTTGGACTGAACCTATCCGACGAATGGGCAGGTCTGGACCTACTCTGAACGTCATCCTATTATAATAATTATTATTATTTATATTATTATAACTATTATTATTATTATTATTAACTAATAATAATAAATGTTGTTATTGTTACAAGTTGTGCAAGAAGAAGATGAGGAAGAGATACAAATGATAAGTTAACACCAAATATTTTTTAGTATCCTAATGAGTTGTAGTTTCTTATTATTTTGAAATTTTCACCAAACTGCCCTTGTTTGAAGTGAAATATCCCACAATGCCCTTTCTGAAAACTAATTTACCAGCATGCCCTAGTTTAGAAAGAGTTCGTCCATTGATTTGACGAACTAGTGAAGTCCATGAAGAAGTTCGTCCTTCTGTTGGGCGAACATGTTGAGAAAACGTGTCATGCATGAGTTCACCCATTGAATGGGCGAACTAGTGAAGAAGATGGTTTTTTTTTTAATTTTTTTATTTTTTGTTAATTCTATTTAAAATGTATTTAAATAATTTAATATAAAAAATATTTAAATAATTTAATATAAAAACTATTTAAATAATTTAATATAAAAACTATTTAAATAATTTAGTATAAAAACTATTTAAATAGTTTAATATAAAAACTATTTTATTAATTTAATTTAAAAACTATTTTATTAATTTAATATAAAAACTATTTAAATAATTTAATTTAAAAACTATTTTATTAATTGATTAAATAATTTATAACAATAAAATGACAAGATTAAATTAGAAGATTAAATAATTTACATAGTTCGGTCAAGGAATGACCGAACTCAGACGTAATTTTTTTGTATAAATAAGCGTATGCCAATTTACTATCATTTGTGTCCAGTTATCCGATTTACAAAGATGTCTGTGCAAGCTCATGTTTTCTATGGACCTGAGAAAAAATTAAGTGTTTACCTAGATCCGCTGTGGAATTTCAGAACCGTGGTCGCAGCAATTAACAGTGGGTTTTGGCAGCTGGGCGGTCGTCGTGTGACGGTGAGAAAAATTAAGTATCGTTGTCCATATATAACGCTTACTGATGCTAGCCCGGAGGGGACGTACATGTACTACCTAGATCGTATAGAAAATGATGAAGATGTCCATTGCATGTTTTCAGCACATAGTGGTGAAGTCAACAGAGGAGTCACAGATCCACTTGTGTTGGTCGCTGTTGTTTGTTAGAGTTTATGTTAGCTTCATGAGTTTTATGTTTGCGTTTGTGGAGTCACAGATCCACTTTATGTTTGTAGTTCGCTGCTGTTGTTGTAATTTGAAAGTTGTGTTGAATTAAAAATAATTGATCGATCAAATACAAAAGTAGTACAATATAATTATCTATTCGGTCGGTTTGACGGACCGGCAACATTGGGACATTTTCTACGCATATGACCTATTTCTCTGCAAATCCCACACCGTCTCTTCTCTTTTTCTACGTCGTCCATCTCAGTTCGGATTCTACTACTTTTTGGACGCCCCTTTTTATTTCTTCTCATTGAATCGTCGTGGCAGAGAGTGAAACCTTCATATTTTGGCCAGTTATCCTCGTGTGGTAGTCCCAGGAAGCTTTCCTTGTAGACCTTGAATACGTTAAGTACTGTGAAGACCTCTGGAATGTGAATTGCATAGTCTTGTCGTATGCTAGAACATGCCGCTATCACGTGGGAGCAAGGCAAGTGGAACGTTTGAAATTTTCCACAGTCACACCTACGATTCCTCAAGTCAACGCTGAAAGTACCCTTTGGACGACCATCGTTGTAATTAATCTTTTCCTGCACCATGAAACAGAATCTTTCCCGATCAAATTGCATGACATTGTGTGTGTTAGCCTTGGCTACCTCCTCGGCCATTCCCTTGTTACAACCATCTGTGAAAACTTTGCCTGAAGATAGCATTTTTGTCCATTTGTGTCCTCGTTTACCAAATAGTGAACCCATTCGATAATATGTAGACTGGACTAATGCAGTGATGGGAAGGTTTCTTGTGGCCTTTAATACAGAGTTTATTGCTTCTGCTAAGTTAGATGTCATATGTCCCCAACGTTGTCCTCCGTCAAATGCTCTAGCCCACTTCTCCCTAGAAATATTGTCTATCCAATTTAAAGCCTCAACGTTGGATCTTCTGATTTCTCCGCGATAATAATTAAATGAGGCATCCGTCAATGCGTAACCTGTATCCGTCAATGTGTTAGAAAAAATGAAAAAAAAGTGCTTATATACTTTAGATACATGTATGTTACTAGGTCTACGAGTTGATGGCAAAGCTATCAACGGTACCACCGAGGTAACAAATTCTGTTTACATGGATTACTTGGGGAAGGAACCAACAGAAACAGATAAAATGAAAGGTTTTGTTAAGATAACTTGGATTGAGAGTGAATATGAAAATTTAAAAAACATAGATAGACCCACACAAGAAGATGTTTTATTAGAAGCTAAACTTTTTATTTTGCTCGTGATCGCAACGGTTTTGTTTCCTGACAAAACTCAAAACCTTTTGCATTCTTCTTGGGTCCCTTTCGTGGGGGATCTCATTAAATGTGGAACATATAGTTGGGGTTCTGCATGCCTTGCGAAATTGTACAGAGAAATGTGCAAGGCAGCAGAAAAAGATGTTAGGAGCATGAGTGGTTGTGCTCTCCTACTAACTTCTTGGGCATTCACACGCATCCCATTGTTCGCTCCTATCAATACTGTGGAACCATCGTTTCCATATGCACAAAGGTATTTTTGTAACACTCATATTTATGTACGTAATATATATATATATATATATATATATATATATATATATATATATATATATATATATATATATATATATATATATATATATATATATATATATATATATATATATATATATATATATATATATATATATATATATATATATATATATATATATATATATATATATATATATATATATATATATATATTTCTTATTCAACTATGTCTAACAATATTAATGTTTTTTTTGGGTTACACAAGGTGGACACAAAGGGGAATGAATTACCGTGCAACTCCTCGCTTCCATCTCCAAGGATATCGAAACGCGTTGGACCATATGCAAGAAAAAGATGTAAGTTTTAAACCAATTGAAAATAGTGGTCGGTTCTTCAATTTAAAGTTATCTTAATTTTATTTGTTATGTGACAGTTTATATGGAGACCGTACATTCAGTACCCGGTGCCGCGTCTAGAAGATAGCCAAATCTGGAGTACAACAACTTACCTTGTCTGTTTCTACATCATTGAGATGCATCAATCAGATAGGGTAACACTCCAGTTTGGATTTGACCAACAGATCCCTCCACTTCCTAGGTGCTTGAAGGAACACCACGCAATTACCATGCGAAAAGCGCAAAAAGTTCATTGGCAACAGTTAAACAAGGACGAGGTGCGAGAATGGAGACACAGAAGAGATGTGATTTTGCAAGGGGGCGCTATATTTGGTGAACGCAAACCAAGTCAAGAGTATTTAACTTGGTTCCGCGCAATTCCTTATGTTCATGTTGCTCCGGATCAATTTCTAACCGACCCACGGACGCAAGCATCATCATCGACACAACAAACTCCCGCATCAATGCATCAGCATGTCCCACCAACCCAAACCTCTCAATTTGGGGGGTACCCATCCTCTTCAGCTCAACATAACTATAACTTCCCCCAGTTCGCCCAACAATATCAGCCCCAACCCTACCTCCGACCACCCAGACAGTTTACCCCATGCACAGCCCCCAACTTTGAGCAGAGCAACCCTTATTTCCAATATCCTACAAATCCTACCTTCAACACTACCTTCTCTCAACCCGCCTTCACGCCCGATGACGTATACATCCCAACCATTCAACAACCCCAAGCCGATACCTACCCACAACCACCACAACCATCACATTCATTCCAACATTTTTTACTGACAGAGGAGCAACTGACGCAAATGCCAGATTTTAACATCGAAGATATTCTAAATGATGATGAACCAGGACCCTCTTCAAGGCAGACAATCCCCCCGAGAACACATCATAATGAAGATTTGTCTTCAGACTCATCTCAATCAGCTGCAAACGAGCGTTTGGGCAGAGGATACCGACAGCGAAGGCCCCCTAGGTGTGGAACTGGAGGTCATCTCCGATGAGATGTGTATTTATTTAATCATTTATATTGTTGTAATTTAATCTTGTAATTTTATTGTTGTAAATTATTTAATCAATTAGTAAAATTGTTTTTAAATTAAATTAATAAAATAGTTTTTAAATTAAATTATTTAAATAGTTTTTATATTAAATTAATAAAATAGTTTTTAAATTAAATTAATAAAATAATTTTTATATTAAACTATTTAAATAGTTTTTATACTAAATTATTTAAATAGTTTTTATATTAAATTATTTAAATAGTTTTTATATTAAATTACTTAAATAGTTTTTATATTAAATTATTTAAATACATTTTAAATAGAATTAACAAAAAATTAAAAAATTAAAAAACAAAAAAAAAAACCATCTTCTTCACTAATTCGCTCATTCAATGGGTGAACTCATGCATGACACGTTTTCTCAACATGTTCACTCAACACAAGGACGAACTTCTTCATGGACTTCACTAGTTCGTCCAATCAATGGACGAATTCCTTCTAAACTAGGGCATGCTGGTAAATTAGTTTTCAGAAAGGGCATTGTGGGATATTTCCCTTCAAACAAGGGCAGTGTGGTGAAAAATTCTATTATTTTGGTATCTTATCATTATAATTACTTTAAAAAAAATATGCTTAAGTGAAATTACTGTCAAAATTGCATTTAATTTAACTTTTTTTTCTAACAATAATTGCACTTGGTCAGTAGTTACCATTATCTTGCAGAGAGTACTTATCAACCTCTTGCAGAAAGTAAGAGTAGGTTTGTGAGATTCTATCAACAGGTGCATATTCTCATAATCTGAAATTCTCTGAGGAGAAAATTGAATTGACATATTTGATATAAATTACTTAGGTACTTTTTTCATTCTTATTTAAAAGAATAAATGTGTTTGGTTTATTATTATTATTAGGAGATCTGAGAAGAAGATCAATGGAATATAAAAATAACATCTGTGATGGCTTTGCAGAAATCACGTGAGGAAGGAAATTACATTCTGATACCATATTGGAATCTCATAATTCCACACTATTATAAATAATATAATACTTAAAAGTAATTAATACATAGCTGATATATATATATATATATATATATATATATATATATATATATATATATATATATATATATATATATATATATATATATATATATATATATATATATATATATATATATATATATATATATATATATATATATATATATATATATATATATATTTCTCTCTTACAACACTATCTTATAAATCCAAAAAAATATTATTAGTTGATCGTGGAAGATGGGAATTTAATATTATACGCATTATTTTTGAAGGTTAAAAGTATTCTATCCCTCTATATTAAAATGGTAATATAAAAATACTTTTGACAAATATTTATTATGCTATTAACACTAACTAATTCAACACTGCTATTCAAATAGTTATTAATGATAAATGTTTATTGTGTTATTAACCCTAATAAGTTTGAAACTGTTTGAGAAATATTTATATGTTTTCAGACATATTAATTAATCCATAATCATTATAAAACTTTTTTTTCAATTAAATGCACCATTTTATTATATTACAATAAATAATTGTAAAATATGATGTTAATTCAATTTTTTTATATACGAAAACAATTATGAATTTTACATTTATATTTTTTTAAAATAATATTTATAAACGGAGAAAAATTAATGTTTTACTTATATTTCATCAAATTTGTTGTTTTTATTTTATTTTTATTTTTATTACATTTTAAACACATATATGTGTACTGCACCAGCACCCGTGCGCACGCACGATTATCCTACTAGATCATCAAATTCAAACTTAGTATATTACACATAGTATAATAAAAAATATGCAATTATTGATAAGTATATATTTAATTTATATTTTTAAAAAAATCAAAATAATTTTAAAGCTGTATAATTGATTTTTTGTGTTTCATTATTTTTAAAATAGATTAATCTAAATCCAATATAAAAAAGTTTCAAATAAAATTTATATACGAAAATAAGTTTAATATTGATTCAAATATTTGTATAAATAATTTCAAATAAAAAATAATATTAATATACGGGAAAAAAATTGTGGTTGATTAAAATATTTTATATACGAGCACACGAAAAATTCTACTTATAAAATAAAATATCAATATTAAATACATATTTTAATAATATACTAAAACGGAAAAAATGAAGTCATTGATAATTTAGTAAAGCATATGAGACAAATATTTTTATACACTGAAAAAAATGTAAATACTTTAAATTCAACTTTATTTTTATATATGAAAAAGTGTATGGATGATTCAAATACTTTTTTATTCTTGAGAACAAGTTTTTTATTCATCAAAATATTTTTATAAATAATATAAAAACAATATTCATTCTTATTACGTTTTGAAAACAATTTTGCATTATTACAATTATAGTACAATTAAAGAAAGTAAAGATAAATATATTTAAACTAATGTATGAATCCAAACACGAGCAAAATATATTTTTTTTATGTTACTAATATTTATTTATATACTTAAATTAAAATTACAAATACTATGTTATTATTTGATATTTTTTTAAAACTAAATTATTGCATAAATATTTTTATAAAAAATACCAACCGGTGTCCGCGAATATTGATTCTATCTTTTTTTAGATATAAATTATATATATTTTTATATTTACTAATTTTTATTAATTCTATTTTTTTAAAAATTTTAAATGTAGACAAATGCGTGTCACCGACAGGTACCGTGCGAAGGCACGGGTATCCTGCTAGTTAATATTGATGGTTCTGTAGTGGAATTACATGCAGCTTGTGGTGGCATCTTCAGAGATCATAGTGGAACTTTTTTGGGTGGGTTCTTTTTCAACCACATACATTACTCGTATTTGGACTAAAGGTGACTCTAATTGTGCAATTGTAGCTTTTAAGAAGTCTTTAATTGTGCATTATCAATTTTGTAATCACTAGCACAATTGTTTTCATCTTGGGTTATGGGTGATATCATCGCATATTTTCATATAGGGTAACAGTTGCATCAATTTTGCAATCACTAGCACAATTGTTTTCATCTTGGGTTATGAGTGATATCATCGCATATTTTCATATAGGGTAACAGTTGTGCTGACAAGCTGAATAATCATGGTCAATATATTTGGAACATTGTTTGGTGGGAATCCCTTCCCAGTTTCATTAGGGAGGATTTCTTTAAGGGCGCTCCGGTTTACCTAATTTTAGTTTCCCTTAGTATGCCTTTGTGGTTTTGTTTTTGCTTCTCTACGAGGGTTTTGGTTGGTCCCTCTCTTATGCATATATTTTTCATTTTTTTTAAGGGTTTGCCTGCGACTAGAGCAGGCAAAATGAGCTACCTAACACGCTTCGAGTCGACCCGTGAAGGATTTAGAACTTTATTGTGTCGGGCCTAAAAGATATTTAAACGGACTACAGTTTAGTTGTCCAATTCCAATCCTTTACTGGCTATGGTTATTCAAGTGAGTCTAGATTATAATTAATATTAAAGTTTTAATTAAAATTTGATATTTTTAAAATATTATAAAAAAAACTAATAGACCATAAACTAAAAGGTAAAACATATATGAATTTGAGCACTAAAAAAAATATAACTCAATTATATTCATAACATCTAAGATAAAATATCATAAAAATAAACTATTTTAATCAAATAACCAAGATTAACTACTCACATTATTTTGTATGAGAACTAAATTTCAATTGTTTATTTATATATCATAATTTATTAATTATAAAGCAGAATAAAGAATATTAATATTTATTTTAATGATATTAGATATTTAAATTAAATCAAATAGATTAATATTTTAAATATATATATATATAATATATATAAATGAAATGTACTAATAATATGATTGTACTTTATGTGACCTATGAATAATTATATTAGGCATTATATATATATATATATATATATATATATATATATATATATATATATATATATATATATATATATATATATATATATATATATATATATATATATATATATATATATATATATATATATATATATATATATATATATATATATATATATAGGCAAAATAACTCTTTTGGTCCTTTAACATTAGCTCGGGGTCCACTTTGGTCCCTTATCTTTAAAAAGTGACAAATTGGTCATTTAACTTTTAAAATGGTGCCATTTTAGTCCTCACCGTTAATTGACCACAAACGTCCGTTTGTTTTGTATATGTGGCAGATGAGGTGGCAATCTTGTTCATGTCTTCCTTCTCCCTCCTCCCTCCTTCGCTGAAAGCCCTAAAAAAATTTCATATCCCAAATCCCAATTCCACTCACGAATCCATAAATTAATCTAGGGCAAGCATGAAATCCGGATGTTGCTCTTCCATTTCAAAAACGAAAAGTCGGGATTCGGATGTTTGTAGTCGGTCACGATGGAAGCCCATGTGCCATTGTGGAGACATGACTGTTCTTCAAAGGGCAACGACTGTTAAGAATATGGGAAAACTTTTTTGGGGTTGTCCAAATTACAAGGTATGCAAGCTGATTTTGTTCTCTGTTCAAGTTATGTTTCTGTTTATTATGTTTTTGTTCAAGCTGTGTAAATTATGTTTCTGTTTATTATCCTCTAAACAATTAATCTTACAGGGAGGTATGCAAGCTGGTTGTGGCTTCTTTGATTGGTTTTATGAGGAGATGGGTGATGAGAAGGAGCAAATTTGGATGCATAGGTTGAGTGTGGTAACAAAGGGACTTGAAAAAGCGGCAATGGAAAATGAAGAATTAGGAAAAAAGTTGATGAAACTTGAAATTGAAATGAAGAATATCATGAAGTGGAAAAAGATTTTGAATTTGATGTTTGTGATTATTATCATTGTATTAGTTGTTAGGGGTAATTAGTTTCTTAAGGGTTGTTTGGAAGTATTATGTTTAGTTAAAGTTTGTATGACTTCAACATGAATGTAATAGTTGGATTTTAATATATGTATTGTATCAGTT